ACCTCTTGAGCCTCCCATGGTCACTGCTCTCCCATGTTGGTTCCACCACACACAAAACAGTTCTTAACCATCAATTCTTTAGCAATAGTTTCAGCTAGGGCCAGGAACATATTTTGAGCTTTTGGGGGCAAGACTACATCTTGTAATTTTTGAAACTCCTGATAATAAGAGTAGAACAGAGAGTTTTTGATAGGATTCAGACTATGTTTGATCACCTGAATCTTGAGTTTCACAGATGGGTTGGCTCCTGTCCCGTCTATCCCTAAGCCATATTCATCTTGATATCCTTTCCAGGATTGGGGTTTCAGCCAATTTTCAGGGATCGGGAATGTAAGATTAATGGGATTACACTTATGACGAGGGCAATTGGCATCGGGTACCCTCAGCCTATTCATATACAACATCCTCGCACTTTCTAATACACTTGTGATGACCTCTGGGCGTACTGTTAGCCCCATTGATTGAAAAGTAATACATTTCTGCCAGAGCAGCCTGGTACAGAAGGTGCCATCACTACAGTCAAACCCCTTTTGCCTAGCACAAATATATTTTTCATTTTTTGCATATGTTCTCCTCCATTCCACAGACCCACACCCATTATCTCCCTCATCCATTGCCTTGCAGGCATCAAAGCTTACTGACTGTGACACCTTGGGATTATAGAAGTCATGGTTCACCATTACCTTGTCCCCGGCCTGAATCTTTATAGTGTACCTATGTGTGGGACCCTTCGGGTCATAACATCTGACATTCCCTCCATCCTTACAAATGGAGTAAGATGTCCCATTGTAGATACAAGTCCCGGAGTCTCTTTTCCTGCAACTCAGTTGAGTATGGAAAATTAGAGTCTTTGTCACTTGTGTCCCTGTTTTTGTTGTTTTTATGCATTGATCACATTGTCCCTCAGTCTTAGCTTTTGTCTTTATCTCAGTCTCTTCTCCTATCCTGCTCATGAGTAAGTAAATAGTCACTAGGCAGATCAGCTGCATGTTACCGCTTCAGAGTTAACTTCAACGGCTGACCATCCACTGGAATGGCCTTCCAAGGTTTCTCAGGTTCCGGTGCCTTCTTGACTCTGCTGTAATGCGTCCAGCCTCCTTCCCGAGTGCTCCTTCCCACACTTGAAGCAGCTCCTATCCATTCCAGGCTGTCTCATTCCCATGCCTCTTCCTCTGGAACCTCTTCCTCTGCCCCGAAAATTTCCCTGATTGTATCCCCCAAAATTCTCTCTCCTTTCTCCAATTGGACCCTTCCCAAAATTCCCACTCTTCTTTCCTTCATTCTTCGCTGCAGCCTGTACAGCTGCAACCATCATTTGTGACTTCTGTCTGGTTTTTACAGTGTCTCTGTTCACAAAAACTTGTTGGGCTGCCTTCAGGAGATCAACCATTCCCACAGCTCCCCAATTATTCATTTTCTGAATTTTCTTTTGGATATCTGGCCAGGCTCCAGTCACAAATTGCATTTTCAGCATGGCTTCAAAAGCAGGTGCGCTAGGGTCTACTCCTGAGTACTTAACTAGACTTTCTCGGAGTCTGGTACAATAATCTCCAGGGGATTCATCTTTGCCTTGGTTTACTTCAAAGGCTTTAGTTAAATTTTTCCCTTGTGGGACTGCCAATTTTATCCCCTCCATGATCATTGTTCTCATATCCCTCATACTTGCTCTGCCAGCCGCAGTGTTTGGATCCCAATTTGGAACTGCTATGGGGAATTTTTGATCTCCCGCCACCGCCCCTTGTTGCCCATCCACTTTTGCATTCCATGCTCTCCAAGCTGAAGTCCGAATGAGATTACGCTCCTCAGGAGTAAATAGGTGCCCCAAGATGTACATCAACTCCTGATAAGTGTAATCATTCGGTCCCAACCACAGATCTAACTGTTCGGCCACCTCATGAGCATTCTCATGAAGTTTTGGAAGAGTCTTTTTCAATTCTCGCAACTCGGCGGGTTTTATGGGGACAGCCACAAAGACTGTGACGGGGTTGCCTGCAGCATTAACCCCATTGGGCATTTCCCTTAAGGGGAAAGCATCTACTTCTGGTTTGTCTTTGAATGGAAGATTCTCAATATCTTTCTGCAATTGTTCCGCTTCTTTTTTTAGCCACGGATAGAGAGGCGGCTGAGGAGGGGGTTGTGCCACCGGCAATGGCGGCGGTGCCATAGGAACATTGGTGGGTGCATTATTCAAATTAGGATTTGAAGGCGGCGGACTCTGCAGCCAATCGTCCGTCTCACTCTCATTGTCTTTTTGTTTGGACATATATTGGCCCTCGATTGGAGGGACGGGACCTTCAAATTTCACATGAAACCATACATCTATGTATGCATTTTGAGTGGTCATTTTGTGTTGGAGATTATAGTCTCGCAATTTGGTCATCCAATAGGTACTGGTTTCCCCCTCAGGACTCCAGTGGTATGGAAATTTAGGATCAATCAAAGGGTATTTTGGCCATCGGTCTCGACAAAGATAAATCATGTTTTTCTTTTCGAGACGTTTGGTGAATTCCTTTAGATTCAGGGAGAACCACTGTTGAAGTAGCTGTCCCAGGGGCGAATCTACCGGAATAGGTTTTCTGCCATTGTCAGATTTTCCCTGTCCCAGACAGGTTTCTTCCTGGTCTCCCAGACCCTTGCTCTGTCCCTTTCCCATCTCTACTCTTCCAGACTCCCAGAGCCTTGACTCACCAGTCCAGTCCTCCAGCAGACGGTGGATTCTCCCAGAGAGTTTAAGGACCTCTTTCTTCCAGACTCCTAGTCCCAGTCCTCCAGCAGGCGCTGGATTCTCCCAGAGAGTTTAAGGACCTCTCTCTTTTGGCTACAAATGAAAGGAACAAAGTTTACCTGATCTGATCACTCCTGGACTCTCCACATTCAGTCAAAGGATGTGTGGGCGTCCCCAACTCAGATCGATCTCACAAACTCTCAGCTGGCATTTCGTCTTAGTTCTTTTTCCAAGGACCGTCTGGATTCCCAGTCACCTCGGGGGTCTGACTGAATTCGGGGAGAGGTACCTCTCAATGGGAGGTTGTGGCCACTCTCTTACCTGGTCCCCGCTTTCCAGTCGACCACCGTCGAGGATCCCGGACGAGCCCCCAAATTGTGAGATGGCAGCTGAAAAGACCACCAGGATTCAAAATTGATCCAAGGAAAAAGGCTTTATTGGATATACATCTGCAGATGGGTTCCACCCTAGCCAGCTGGGAGGAACGTAAAACATAGCTTTTGCTCTACTCTTATACCCTAAAACTACCCCCCCCAGTATGCAAATGGCTTGATTTACAATCTATCTTTCAGGATACACGTTACATTTTATTACCTTATACAACAGGCACTTCCTTAACAGATAACATACATCAACATAACCGGTATCTGGCATTTCAAAAACATTCCAAGAGAGTGTGATAGTTCCCAGCGCTTCAAAGGCATTCCAAGATCGGTCAACATTTTAATTGGTGCTTGGCACTGCATTTCCTTACTTCAAAGACATCCCTTTCAACATGAGATTTGAGTCATAAAATGGATACTTTAATTAACACTTCTCACATACCCAACAATTAAACTGAAGGAGCGGCAATACTACTTCTTACTGTTTGGGTCCTGCCTGTCAGCTTTATTTATTTGTTTATTTATGGAATTGATACAGCCACCCATCTCATTTGTGGAAGTGCACAACAATAGATAAAAACCCCAAATATATAGAAATAGCAAATATAAATATAAAAGATCATCATAATAAATATCCTTTTAAAAAACCCTGGAAATCCCATACTTGAAGGAAATAAAAATGGCTCCTTCGCAATGGACTCTTGATCAGTATCTAGTTCCATGGGAGCCTCATGGACATATTTCAGAATATCAAAAGCTACGGAACAAATCTAAATTCAGGGGGATGAATATTCCATAAGGTGGATTCCATAGCAAAGACGGCATATCTCCTGGACCCAGCAAATGTTGATTCCTAGCCAAAGATAACTGCAGCATGCCTTCTGTGAGAGACCTGGTGGTCCAAGCTGATATAAACAGGAAAAAGCAGTCCTTCAAATAGCCCAATCCCTTGCCAGAAACCAGCACATTGAATTGGATCCAGAAGCAGACTGACAAGTTCACAAAGCAGAGGCCTAATATGCATTGGCCAATGTATGCATATGCATCCATAAACTTTGTTTTGAAAATTCTGGATACTGGAGTTGTTGACAGGATCCTTAGAAACAGAATCCACAGTTAAACCATAAGAATTGTTTTTATCAGTGCTTGGTATGGAAGATGACAAGATTCTTGATAACCTGCTTCACTATTGAATTTAATGTCTAGAGAAAGGATGAGTCCTCAGCCTAGCTTCAGAACTTTCTGTAGACTATCAGTTCAGATCTTTGTCAATAGCAATTCATTCTTAATCATGTGAAAGGAGATAAAAGAAGAAGGATGCAAAAGAAAAAACAGCAATGGCCTTAACGTTCATTTACATGTGGTCATCTATAGAGTTCTAAAGAGATATAGCCATCCACAAAAGAATGATGTTCAGCCCTGTGCTAAATTTTACAAAATAAAATGAAAAGCTACAGATTTTGGGGAGCGGGGATATAAAAACATTCATTCTGGTAAATTGCTTTTCGGCACTTGAATATTATTTTTATTTCTTTTTTATTTTAGAATTCTGATGACCATATTTAAATATATAGGATATTTGTAAGGTTGTTTGGGCAAAATGAGGTTATTAATAAACAAAAAAAATGAGTTGTGCAGACAGAAAGAGAGTCATTCAGGTGCGGAATACTTGGTTTTTATAGTTTCTCTCCCAGATGACATCGTTCCCCTGAATAAGGGTCTCATTTGGAGAAATGAATTTTAGCTTGTTCGAAACACAATTTTTTTACAAAACCTATGCCAGAAGAATGATTGAATAGCAACGCTTATGTGTTTTCTCTAAGATTTTCTTTTTCTTTTTGCAATGTCGATTTTATAAAATCATAGCAATCATACTCCTTTCTATATTTCAGGATGGAATGGGAAATCTAAGGATTACAGAAAAAGGTTTAAAGCTAGAAGGAGATTCGGAGTTCTTGAAACCTCTCTACGCCAAAGAAATCCGCTCCAGGACAGTAAGTCAGAACTTCTAAAAATGTTTTATTTCTTGATAGAACTGAAAATATGTCACTACAACATCATGACTAGTACAGCTGCAATTTTGAAATCCACCCTCCAAATTTAGAATTTGCAGATTGGATTTTGGAGAAGGTGAACCCAAGAAAAGTTGTCAGTATAATTACAACTAATTAGGGCAGCGGTCCCAAACTTGGCAACTTTAAGACTTGTTGACCAACTCCCAGAATTCCTCAGCCAACAAAACTGGCTAAGGAATTCTGGGAGTTGAAGCCCACAAGTCTTAAAGTTGAGACCTCTGAACTAGGGCTTATTAATGAAAATGCAGTATTTACCACGAGTCAAATGGGCAAGCAGGAAATTTCATGACATCTGCCTACAAGAGGGTTGCCTTTAGGGTCAGATCTTAGAACCCCTTCACTCTTCCTTCCATCCCTTGGACTGCTCACTCTGGTCTAGGGAAAAGCAACCAGAAGGAATCCTAGGACTAAGGAGAAATTTCCTGGCAGCTAGAACAATTAATCAGTGAAATGGGACTTTCCTCCAGAAGTTGTGCAGGTTTTTAAAAAGAGATTCACTAACCATTTGTCAGATGTAGTGTAGGTTTTCCTGCTTTAGCCAGGGGTTAGAGTAGAAGACCTCCCTTCCAACCCTGTTATTCTGTTAAATTCTGTTAAATATATTAAATTCTGCAACTAGATGCAGAACTAGTTAGCTTCTAAAGAAGAAGAAAGGGACATTTAGGTGAACAATGGAGAAAGCCCATAGAATAGTGCACAGTAGCACAAGCAATTTCCCTTATAATGTCATTTGACAGTGAGGCATGAACCACATGGGAGGAGAAAGGAAATATCTATCAACCGATTAAGGTCAGAAAGAGGAGCTTGTTAGTTCACAGCTTCTGCTTGGTAAGCGAGCAGCACACTGCTCAGGAAACCAGCTTAAGAACAGTTAGCTTGTTGAAGCAATATTTCATCCTCTGTTAAGTGAAAAAGCAGATCAATCACAGGACAACTAGCTTATAGTCAACGTGAACTAAACATTAAGTCCACTGCTGTAAAGGCAGGAAGTTATAGGGGTTGTTGTTTCATGTGGAAAAATTCCTCTGAGATTAAAAAGAGGTTTTGTTTGGAACAGAAACGCTGACTGTGCAAATAGGCATCTATGACAATTTGCTACAGCCAATTCACCATGTCTAACTAACCACAGCTAACTCGCCATGTGACAACTTTCCGCTGAACAAGAGTTATACTAATATTGAAGAAATAGAGGAATAGAATCATTAAAGAAAGGGTGTCAAAGGAGGGACAAAATGAAGTGTGAACGACAAAAAATAAAATATTTTTTAACTATTTTAAATAATTAAATTGTTGAATTGTCCAGCAGCAAGTTAACTTGTGGCAAGTTGGCTATGGTGAGTTGGCCGTGGCAAATTGGCCATGGTGAGTTGACCATGGTGAATTGGCTGCAGCAATTTGGCTACAGTGGGTTGACCCATTCCGTGCTAATAGTCCACTAGCCCTTTGCCCCAAGGCCCAGAAGCCAAAGTAGGATGTCTGTTAACATGAAAAAGAAACACTAGTTTTAAACTGCTGTAGGTATGAATATTCCACTCTTATATTGATACCCAATGGTTTAAAGTGCCTCCATTTGAATATGCAGTCTAGCTGTGTTATTTATTAACAAATGGAACAGCCTTCTTGTTTTACACCACATTCCACAAGTCCAGTGCTCCTCTTCTATAGTGCCAGTTACACACTGTGGCAGATTCAGAAGTAAGGGATATAATTACCTTGATTTGTCTTTTGTATCTAGTAATAAATATACTTTCTCTAATCCTAGAGGTTGTGTGTTGGCTAACATCTAGAGAGAGAGATAAAAATCAGACTGAGGAATTTCATATACTGCACGCTCCCTTTTGGTTGTAGTTCATCAGATCTTAAGAACTGAGAATCCCTTTAAAAGAAATCTCTTATAAATATTTTGTGCCAGCATCTTGTTGGAAATTGGTAGCCGTTGCCTGAGAAATTCTGCTTTCTTGTTGCTCAAAAGTCAATTTGTACAACTTTGTGGATTTTGATTTGATTCTACTTCTCACAAGCCACCAACATTCCTCCTGAATATGAAGCTGCAGAGTTTCACAGAAAAAATATTTGGAAATGTATTACTATCCCTCACACATATAGAGCCATTTCCAGCAAAATAGAGATGCGGCATTTTGAACTTAAATATTTTGGACTTGAAAGGCATTCATATCAATATCTCAAGTTTAAGAGAAGTAGTTTGATATTAACGCCAACTCTAAGGAACTGATTTAGTGCACATAACATTTACTTTTTAATTTATCATATATGTTTAAATATATCTCCTTATTTGAGAAACATTATACATAGGTTTTTCTTGGTTCTTGTTAGCTGAGGGAGATAGACAATGCCTGCTCAGAATATCCTGGAAAATCATTAGGAAATAAGTAATGTTTTGAAGGATAGGGAATAAGGATTATATATTAAAATATTTAATTTCTCAAACATTTGGAAAAAAAGTGAAAATCCATTTCAGAATAATAGATTAAATATTAATGATAGTTTTTTATATAATGTATGCACCCCAGAACATCTAAAATAGTCTTATTTGATCAATAGCCTTAACATGAATAGAATTTATTTAATTTTCAAGTGATACAAAATGAGGTCATATTTCCTGCTTAATTTGGAGTATATTAATTTGCTTCCTATTTTACATTGTGTTTGATTTAGTCACAAATAACTAATGAAATATCCTTAATATGATTTCTTTAATATGTTCCATAGGATATTCCATGTGTTGTCCAATATAAATTTTATTTTATAATTGAAAGTTACAACTTTAGCAAATTGGTTGTAAATTAAAATCTAGTAATGGCGAACAATTAAAAAGAACAGATAGTAAGGAAATCTTCATATTGTTTTTAGGAATAAGAGAAAATATTTGACCCATATAAATGATTTCACTTTAATAAATTCAAAAGAAGTAAAAATGACTTTCATAGTTTTATAAATAAAGTTGTTAAATTGTACATTAATTGGAGGACCCAGATTGTTGGGGGCAATATACTGACTCTGTAAACTGCTTAGAGAGGGCTGTAAAGCACTATGAAGCGGTATATAAGTTTAAGTGGTATTGCTGTTACTATTAATTGCAGTTACTAAAAGAATTTATTCTTCTAAATTTTAATGTACATTTGATTCTATGAAGGCTGTGTTTGCCTTCTTTTTGTGAAGAATCAAACATATGCAGAGAAAACTAAGGTTATAAAAAGAGGATATGCAAAATATATCAAAGAGTCTAAACTATTCTTGAGTATCAGTGAACATATCAGTCTATGATCATCCAAGTCAGTGAAACCCATACACTTGTTCCATTGCTTTCCTTGCTTTACAGTTATAGTGGTCTTATGGAAATCAACTAATAGTAACCTACACACTAGATAATTGGGAGGAAATGACAAAAGTTTTTATGAAAAGTAATTAACACCTGGTTTTGATTTTTGTAACATTCTCATTCATATAGGATTCATTATATTCTCCATCAAATCTATTTTGAATATTATTCTTGATGATCTCATAATTCCTACCTTTAATAAAATTATATTTTCTCATCATTTTCTGGGGATTAGCAGTTACAAACCTGAATGAATAGGCAATATCTTTGTAGCTACATGAATTATTCAAATGCCATTGAGTCAAGCCAGAACCATGACAACCTTATGGACAAATGCTCATTATTTCAATCTATTTTATTTGTTAAATTTATTTGGTGCCTATCTCACAGTGGGGCTACTCTGGGAAATTTAGCATGGTAAAACAGAAAAATATAATCACAATAATAAAGCAATGAAATAATAAACAATAAACAATAAAAGTACAATAATATGGATTTCAAAATAGCAGAGTGGAGGTGGGATCAGCTAATTAGTACAGCATTCCTAATAAGAATCCATAATTCTTCCAAATTCATTCTAGTGGTCCTGTTCATTTATTTTCTTCCCTTTCTCTTCTTCCCTGCCAAGCATATTTTCCTAGTTCATTATCTGCTTGTATCACACCCCAAAGTATGTGAATTTCCTCTTACTGATCATATCTTCAAGCGAGAATTTATGTGATCTGGGATCATTTGAGTAAGTCTTTTTGAAATTAATGGTACCCTTGGCAATCAACATAAACTCCATAATTTAAAGGAGCTATCTTCTATCTCTCATTCTTTATCAGGATGCAGCTTTTACACTATAGCTCCTCACTGTTTAACTAGCCAATCTTAGTTTTATCTCAGTAATATAATACATAAATGATATTGTCTAAATTTGTTCCTCCCTCCTAGGAATCAATCTTTTTATCATGAAACAAAATGATACAAAGATATGACACACATCTTTTATCTTTTATCTTTTTTTTATTTATTTTTTTATTATTATTATTTTTATCTTTTATCTTTTAGAATGCAACAAAGCTGTTAGCTGAGAAGGCCAAATTAAGGCAATTTGTCCATGGAATTGTCCAGGTTAAACCATATCCAGGTTAAACCTTAGCTTTCCAAAATAAATCTATATTGAAGGATTATCATATTTATATTATTCCGTTCTTTTCAGCTAAGTATTAACTAACCATAATCCCACTGGTTCTTTTTACAAAAATCCTTGATGTATAACTTCCAATATTTGATAACATAGTTTAATATTCTAAGCAGATAAGAAAAACAAATTAAGGAGAAGCCACGATGTCTTTAGTTACATGGGGATTAAATGTGTTTTAGTCATGTTTTAAAGTGAAATACTAAATGAGTCAGGGTTTAGAGAAGCAAGTAAAGTATCTAAAAACCCCAGTTGAACATCTAGCACACTAAACATTCTTTTCAATGCCATTTGTGTGCATCTTGATGTCTTTAATTAAGAAACGAACTGGACCATGAAGCATTGCCTGAGTAAATAGAAGTGATTTGTGCTTCATCAAGAAACCACATTAGA